ATGCATATAGGTCGAGGTGATTCAACAGCACATAAAAACAACAACTATATAAGACATGTATATAAATATACATATGTTTGTGCGCAAGAGTGTGTGAGTGTGTAGAGAACACACACTAAGGAGCTAAAATGTTAAAGAGCAATGAGGTCCATTTAAAGACTAAAGTATGCCTGACCTAAGACATGGTATTTTCAATTGTTTTTTTATGTATCTGAAAGCAGGATAGTTAATCAGGAAAAGAGAGAAGAATTGATGCTTTTGAATGATGATATTGGTGAAAAGTATCAAATATATCATGGAATGTCGAAGCAACAAACAAATGTCTAGGAGGAAGTGCAATGAGGGTGCTTCTTGAGGCAAGGATGGTAAAGCTTGATCTAATATACGTCAGGCATGTAGTCAGGAGGGCTCAGTCCATGGGAGAAGATAAGCTGGAAAAGGGTAGAAGGTCAGTGAATGAGAGGAAGAACTTAAAGGAGATAGATTAACACAGTGACTGCAATAAATGGGCTTGAGTAGGCACAGATTGGGAGGCCAAGGGTGCCATCTGCTGTTCATATTTCCTATGAGTCGCAGTTGACTTGTGAGCACCTAACGACAATAATCTGGTATACAGAGCCCAGTACCTAATAAGTAGTCAATATTATATTTTGCTACACAAATGAATTATTTAATGAGGATTAGGCAAATCTATAATACAGTTTCCAGTAAATTTGTCATTCTCAAACATAAAAGAGATTAGACAGCTATGAGACAAATAGCAGGGAATTAATATGGGTAATGAGAATTTCTTGCTAAAAATTTTAAGCAGAAAATTATCAGTTCTCTTGTCAGAGTTAAGAATTAGGACAGCTAAAAATCTGTAACAGAATAAAGCTAAATGTAAATGGATCCAAAACTCACTGACTCCGTAACTTAGTTCAATCAAGAGATGGAAGAAAATGAACTATTTCTCTGAATCCTAGAGCTAAAACAAACAGTGGCAAGTCACCATCAGGTGGTGACTGCAAAGAAATGTCTGAACAAAAATGTGCTGATTACGTTGTATGATTTAGGCATTATTCTAGGTATTTTAGATAATAGCAATGAATAGAAAGCACTTGCAGCAAATGGTGCTGGAACAGCTGAATTATATGCAAAAGAAGGAAGCCAAACCTTTACATCACACATGAATACTAACTCCAAAGGAATTAACAGTCTAAATTCTAAAACTCATGGATGATAACTAGGGGAAAAGCAGTAAATGGTTTCTCAGAAACCATATCAAAAGTCTAGCAATAAAAGAAAAAACAGATGAATTAGATTACCTTAATATTAACACTGTAGGACATCATCAAGAAAGTGAAATGACAACTCACAGAATGAGAGAAAATATTTGCATATCAGAAACTACTATAATTCAGTAATAAAAAGATACTCTAATTTTAAAAGGGAGCTCTGGTAGCTTCCTTCTTGTTGTTAGATGCTCCGGAGTTGAGTACAACTCACAGTGACCCTATGAACACCACCTCTAAATCTTGCCCTAGCCTGAGCCAACCTCACCATCTCTGACACAACTGACCTCCTTGCCACAGTCACTGAGTCAATCTAGCTCAACCAGGTTCTTCCTCTCCTGGGCTCACCCTCCACTCTCCCACGTATGATGTCCTCCAAAGAATGGCCCCTCCTGACAACAAGCCCAAATTATGTGAGATGGAGTTTCAAAACCCTTGCATCAAAGGAGCAACTTAGTTTCACCCTCTCCAGGGCAGACCTATTTGTTCTCTTGGCAGTCCACAGTATGTTCTATATTCTTCTCCAGCAAACCCTGGTAAGCACATGCTTTGCACTCTCATGGCTTGGTGGTTAAGGAATATAACTGCCAACCCAAAGGAACCTCGTTTGAATCCACGAGCTGTTCCACAGGAGAAAGAAAGGCAATCAATCTCTTTCCATATGATTTATAGCTTGTGAAAACCCACTGGAGGGTCTGCTTTGAGTTGCTTCCAACAATAACAATGGGCAAAGAGTCTGAATAGATAGTTCTCCAAAGATTATACACAAATAGCAATAAGTATATGAAAGATGGTCAACATTATCAGTCACAAGGGAAATACAAGTCACAATGAGATACCAGTTCACATGCACTAGGATGGCTATAGTAAAGACAGGTATATGTTGGTATTGTTGTTGTTATTTAGCTGGGGTTATGGGGGCAAGTATATTGGAGACAGTGAGATTGGCTCAGGATAGGGCAGATTAAGAGCTATTATGTACAGGGTCTCTATGAGTAGCAGGCAACACAATGGCACATAATAACTACAATAACAAGATGTGAAGAAAACCCTCATAAATTGCTGGTAGATTTATAAAATGATACAGCATTTAATACTCTGGAAAATAGTCTGGCAGTTAGTTTCTCAAAAGGTTAAATGCAGAGTTACCATCTTATCCACTAATTTAACTCAAGGGGGGAAAATAGAAATACGAAAATATACAACCATACAAAAACTTGTATGTTAATATTTATAGCAGCATTATTAATAATGGTCAAAAGTAGTAACAACTCAAATGTCCATCAACTATGCAG